GGGGCCTTAGGAGGCTAGCGCGGGGCTAGCGTGGGGCCGACGGGGGCTTAGGAGGCTAGCGCGGGGCCGATCGAGGGCCTTAGGAGGCTAGCGCGGGGCTAGCGTGGGGCCGACGGGGGCCTTAGGAGGCTAGTGCGGGGCCATACGGGGCCTTGAGAACGAGGCGCTCGAGGCGCAGGAAAAAGAACGGCGGCGCACGAGGGCGCGGCTAGCGGAAACGGTGGGCCCTATCGTTTCGGTCCTAGGTGGAACCTAGGCTCGTAATACCATGTCAGAATCAGAAACGAGAAAATGAGGAGTGACTAGCAGGAACAACAGTACAAATATGTCAAACCCTAATCTGGTGTACCCCTTATGGTGTGACCCACTACAGCCTAGAACCACACAAACATATAATGTTTGACAGCGAGCATGCCTGTGATTCTGGCCACTTGGCGAACTGAGACGGGTCGACATGCCTTGCTTGCGCTCAACAGGTTCTGAATGGTTGCATGTAGTGAGGCTCGCCGTTCCGGACCGATGGTAAATCGGCCGATGGCCGTGTCCAGCTCCACACCCAAGAATCGAAGGTGTTGCGATGGTGACAGCTATGATTTCTTCGCATTTATCACCAAACCCGTTGCTTTAAGGCCCAGTATTACACGGTGGCAAGTGGCCTGCACGTAGGCTTTTGACTGGCAGAGGAATAAGATGTCGTCCACGTATGGTACTACTCGAATGCCTTGCTCCCGCCAACGACGGGCTAGCTGCTTGATGAGTTGCGTGAAGACGAATGGGGCTATCGCAAGACCGAACGGCAATGAACGAAAGGAGTAAGTGCGCCCATCGAATCCAAAACCGAGAAACTTCCAGCATGAGGGATGGATGTCGATGTCATGGTACCCGGATTTGAGATCAATAGAAAACATCCAATCCACAGAGCGTGCCACGTCTGCCACGCGGCTGAGTCCTTCGTACTTGAATATTGGAACGATGAGGTTTGCGTTGACTTTTCTCAGGTTGAGGATGAGCCTGCATTTTTCCGACCTCGTTAAGTGGGCTGATGCACGTAAGCTCGCTTGCTGTTGTCTCGACTGCAGCTCCGGTCTCTATGAGTTCTTGGATGGCAGTACGTGTGAACGTAGCATGCGCGTATGCACCAGCGTGGTTACGCTTCCGGAAGGCCTGTGGTGGGCCATGGCTCCATGGAAGCCAGTAACCGTTAACGATTATGGATAGGACGAGGCTGGAAGGGCACCATGAGCTCCACCTCACAAAGGTCGAGCGAAGCCGACTGCACATCCGTGTGACGGTTTTGTCCGTGACGGCGAATTCGTACAGGCCATCGTTGCGAGGCACCTCGTATTGTTGTACTCCTGTATGTACGCCAAGGAAATGAACGGGACCAATCAAGTTACTGTCAAACTCATATGCTATAGTCTGTGTAGGCTGTAGTGGGGTAGACCATATGGGGTACAACACTTTTGGATTTTCCTACTTGTACCCACCTGCTTCCTAGTTCATTCATTCCTCATTTCTTCACATGGTATAGAGCAGGTTCCCTAGTGGGAACGCTTCCTAGGGCCCACCACTGAAATCGAAAATTTTCTGACCGGAGCGCGAGTCGCCCCTACCCGAGGCGCGCCCCGTGGGCCGCCCTCTCGTCGCGTCCCCTGCCCTTAGTGGCCTGTCGCGCCCTCCTAAAGGCCCCTCTCACGGCCCCTCGCGCCACCCTTAGCGGCCCCGTCGCCACCCCTAGCGGCCCCGTCGCCGCCCTCCTAGGCCCCTCGCGGCCCCTTCGCGGCCCCGTTGCCGCCCTCCTAGGCCCCTCGCGGCCCCTTCGCGGCCCCGTCGCCACCCGTAGCGGCCCCGTCGCCGCCCCTCGAGGCCCCTCGGGGCCCCTTCGCGGCCCCATCGCCGCCCCTAGCGGCGACGTCGCCGCCCTTCAAGGCCCCTTGCTGCCCCTTCGCGGCCCCGTCGCCGCCCCTAGCAGCCCCGTCGCCGCCCCTATCGGCCCTCTCGCCGCCCTTCGCGGCCCCGTCGCCGCGGTTCGCGGCCCCGTCGCCGCCGTTCGTGGCCCTGCAGCAGCTCCTCGCGGCCTCGTTGCCGCCCTCTCTCGGCCCCATTGCCGCCCTCTCGCGGCCCCAGTGCCGCTCCCCCTTGCGGCCCCGTCGCCGGCCCTTTCGGCCCCTCCCCGGACCCTTCACTGCCGAGCCGCCGAGCCGCCAAGCAGCCGACCCGTCGGGCCGCCGAGCCGCCGTATCGTAGAGCCGCTGAGCCGCAGAGCCGCCGAGCCGCCGAACCGCTGAGCCGCCGAGACCGCCGTCGAGCCGCTACTGCCACTGCCGAGCCGCTGCCACCGCGGTTGCAGCCCTGTTCCTACCGGCGCGCCCCGGCCCTACCCACCCGGACTAGTGAGAGCACTCCCTGCTAGACCACTGCTGTCATGGCTACACCCAGTGTCCTTACCTTTGATGCTGAGGGTCGTGCTGTTGACTTCAAGGTCTGGGTCGATGACCTACAGCTCTTCCTACAGTGCGATAGGGCAGACGGACTCTCCCTGTTCGATCTCACCTCTAGTGCCTCTCCTGCCCCGCCTGCTGATGCTGACAGCACTGTTCGCTCACACTGGGCCACACGCGATGCTGCTGCCCGTCTTGCTGTGCGTCGCCACTTACCAACCGTTGAGCGTGCACACTTTTAGTCAGTACAAAAGTGCTAAGACCTTGTACGACGTTGTAGTTGCACGCTACTCTTCCCCTGCCACTGCTGCTCTTAGCCACCTCATCCTGCCGTACCTGTTCCCTGACCTTGCTGCCTTTCCCACACTCGCTGACCTCATTATGCACCTTTGCACTAGTGACACTCGCTACCGCGCTGCGCTTCATTCTGATTTCTGTGCTAAGAACCCTCCCCCCATGTACATCACCCTCTACTACATAGTCACCCGGCTCCCTGACTCCCTTCGCTTAGTCAGGGACCACTTCCTCTCAGTTTGCCCCACCGCACTCACCGTTGACCTCCTCGAGGAGCGCCTCCTGGCAGCAGAGAAGAGCATAGTCGCTGTAGGAGCCTCTCGTGGTGACCCTCGTACCCCTGTCTTTGAGGGGTGTCCCCCCTCCCCCCTCTTGCCCTCTGTTGCTTCTGCTGCTGCGGCCGACCTCGTTGGCTTCGAGTCGGTCGGAGCTGCGTCTGCCCCTAGCGGGAGACGCCGCACCGGCAAGGGCAAGGGGGGCAAGGGCGCTAGAGGGGCTGGCAGGGGCGGTGGAGGTGGCGGTGGAGGCAGTGGAGGGGGTGGGGGTGGTGGTGGGAGTGGTGGTGGGGGTGGCGGCAGCGGCGGCAGCAGTGGAGGCGGAGGAGGCGGCGGTAGTAGCGGTGGGAGCGGAGGCTGCGGAGGTGGCGGAGGCGGCGCAGGCGGTGGAGGCGGCGGAGGTGGCGGAGGCGGCGGCGGCAGCGGTGGAGCTGGTCGCGGCTCTGCGCAGAGGTGTGGCTCCGTTGGTGGTCCGCGCCAGCAGCAGCAGCGCACTCGTGAGACCCTGTCCCCCCTGCAGCTTCGTGAGTGGTACGCTGGGCGTCAGCGAGGTGGGGGTACTGGTCCCTGTACCTACGTCCTCCGTACCGGCAACCGCGATGGTGAGCAGTGCTGGGGCTCGCACTCCACCCAGCGCTGCTTCGGCCGCCTGACAGACGCTTGGCGTCACCAGTTCCCTGACGGCACTAAGATCCCTCGCTGGGGAGAGGTGTCTAGGGCGGGGGTTGCTATCTTTGATCTTGACTTAGATGCTATACTTGCTGCCATGTATGCTGTGTCTACTAGTGATGAGGGCGACTGTTAGTTGTGTGTTCCGCCTGACCCGGGCATTGGGACTGCTGCTCTAGGTGCTGGTGAGGCTGCTGCTGTGGGTGCTGGTGAGGCTACTGCTCTCAGTGCTAGTGAGTCTGCTGCCCCAGGTGCTGGTGAGTCTGCTCTCTCAGGTACCACGCCGGCTCAGGCCTCCCACACCTTCACCCTTGACTCGGGTGCTTCCCGCTCCTTCTTTCGAGACCGCACAACACTCACGCCGCTTAGTCGGCCAGTGGCGGTCTTCTTGGCAGACCCCTCCGGGGGTCCTGTCCTTGCCCACTTCTCCACTGTCTTACCGTGTCCGATGGCCCCCTCTGGCACCCTGTCAGGTCTTTACCTCCCCTCGTTCTCTAGGAACTTGGTGAGTGGTGCAGATCTAAAGGATGGGGGGGTTCACCAATTCACTCCTGCGAGTCAGCGAGTGACCCACTGCACGTGTGCTCGGACGGGCCGACACTTGGCCACGTTTACCCGTCGACCAGGGTCGAGCCTGTACACACTGACTACTGGTCCTCCTCACTCTTCTACGTCTGGTCAGGTAGCTGCGTCGGGTCAGATGTCTGCTGCGACGTCCAGGTCTGTACCTGAGTCTGCCCCTTGCTCGTGTCGTCTCCTGTCCCACCAGACTCTCCTCTAGCACCACCGCCTAGGTCACCCCTCTCTGCCTCGTCTCAGAGGCATGGCCTCCCGTGTCCTTGTCTCTGGTCTCCCCCGGTCCCTCCCTCCCCTCCCTCCGAGGCCTGCCCCTACTTGCGTTACCTGCGTTGAGGGGCGGCAGCGCGCCGCCCCTCACTCCTCCGAGTTTCCTCCGACAGAGGCTCCGCTGCAGACTCTTCACTTGGACGTGTGGAGCCCTGCCTGCGTCCGTGGCCAGGGTCACGAGCGTTACTTCCTGTTGGTGGTTGACGACTACTCGCGTTACACCACGGTGTTCCCCTTGCGCAGCAAGGGTGACGTCACTGAGGTGTTGATCGACTGGATCCGCGCAGCTCGTCTCCAGCTCAGGCAGAGCTTCGGCTCGGACTTTCCTGTTCTGCGTCTGCACTCTAACAGAGGTGGAGAGTTCTCCTCTGGCCTTCTGCGAGCCTACTGTCGTGCACGAGGCATCCGCAAGACCTTCACGCTTCCGGACTCTCCAGAGCAAAATGGGATTGCTGAGCGCCGCATTGGCATGGTCATGGACGTCGCCCGTACGTCCATGATGCATGCGGCTGCCCCCCATTTTCTGTGGCCGTTTGTGGTTCGGTACGCGGCGCATCAGATCAACCTTCACCCCAGGGTCTCCATGCCGGAGACCTCCCCAGCTTTGTTGTGGACCGGGAAGGTTGGTGATGCGTCTACGTTCCCTGTCTGGGGATCTCGAGCGTTTGTCCGCGACTTGTCTGCGGACAAGCTGTCCCCTCGTGCTACTCCTTGCGTCTTCCTTGGCTTCCCCCTTGACGCGCCTGGGTGGCAGTTCTACCACCCCACCTCTCGCCGTGTTCTGTCCTCCCAGGACGTCACGTTTGACGAGTCGATCCCCTACTACCGCCTCTTCCCCTACCGCACTCCGTCCCTCCCCCCGCCACCGCTCTTCCTTGTGCTAGGTCCCCCCCCCGTAGACCCCCTCCCCCCTCAGGGTCCTGCCCCTTCAGGTGTGTCCCAGGTAGACGCAGTCGAGCCTGTTGAGGTTGCTGGTGACTCTGGTGCTGCAGAGGGTGCTGAGCCTTGGGGTACTGACTCTGGGGGTGCTGAGCATGTGGGTGCTACGCCTGGGGGTGCTGAGCCTGAGGGTGCTACTACTGGGGGTGCTGAGCCTGGGGGTGCTGAGCCTGGGGGTGCTACGCCTGGGGTTGCTGAGCCTGGGGGTGCTACGCCTGGGGTTGCTGAGCCTGGGGGTGCTACGCCTGGAGTTGCTGAGCCTGGGGGTGCTACGACTGGGGGTGCGGAGCCTGAGGGAGCTGGGCCTGCTCGTGTCGCGTCTGGCGGTACTGTGCCTGGAGGTTCTCCGGGTGCTTCGTCTCGGTGGGAGCCACTCTCTCCACAGGAGCTGCGCGAGTGGTTTGCCCGGCGCTGGAGGCGTGCTGCTAGAGCTGGAGGTTCTTCGGCTACTAAGGGTGCTGGTGTCGCGGGTCCCGGAGGTGCTCGTACTGGGAGTACTGGAGCTGCTGGGCCTGCGGGTACGACTGGAGCTGGAGCTGCGGAGGGTGTTGGCGCTAAGGCTACTGCTGTCAGTCCTGGAGGCGGTCCTGCTGGGGGTGCTATTGGTGCTGCTAAAGGTCCTGGAGCTACTGGAGCTGCTGGGGGTGCTGGAGCTGGAGGTGCTGCTGGCACTGGTGCTACCACTGAGTGTACTGGTGCTGTCCCTGCTGTGTCTGGAGTCGCCGCGCGACAACGGCCGTACTTCGTTCCGCTCCTTCAGCAAGTTCTTGGTCTTCCGCCTTCTACTGGTCCTCCTCCTCCCTTAGAGTGACCACGGCCTGTCCCGTCATAGTTACAGTTACAGCCGGCCTCCCCACTTCCTGCTCCTTCTCCCTACACTAGTCCTACTGGAGGTCTTGCTGAGCGTCGTGAGCCTGCGTCTCGCCCTGCGTCGCCTATCCGTCCTGCTCGCACTAGTGGTTGTGGTTCGCGTCAGCGTCCTCCTCCTGTCCCTGGCATGCACCGGATGTCTCCGCATCCGTCCACTGGTCCTCTGCGTGCCCCTTTGCCTTCTCCTCCTGAGTCCTCTCTTCCTGCTTTTGCCGACCCGGAGTCGGACTCTCTTCGTGCTGCCAGTCCTACTGTTACGCGTCTCCTTGCTACTGTCGTCACTGACCCTTCCTTTGAGTCCACTGCTGCGTCTGCCCTAGTTGCTGAGCTTGTCGACTTTGCTGCTCGCTGTCGTCTAGACTACACTGCTAGTCTTGTCGCTGAGTCTGAGTTGAGAAGAAACGAGGAATGAAATGACTAAAGGAAAGTTGGGTACAAGTACAAACCCGAAAAAGCTGTACCCCATATGTGCTACCCCACTATAGCCTACAGTAGCTATGTCATATATATCTGACACACCCCCATAGGCAAAGTGGGGGAGAACAAGGGGTCACAAGACCAGTCAAGCAAAGCAAAGCAAGCTCAGGGTGGATCACAAAGTCACCACACATTCCGAGCACAAGTTCAAGGCCACAAGGCCAGTTCACATGCAGGATTGCATATATATATATAAGGCTAGACAAGCAAGAGCAGGTGTATATATATATGCAACAGTACAAACAAGGTCAAGGGGTGAGCAAGTGAGGTAAGGTAGGCACAAGACCCAGCTGAGTACAGAAGCGCTGATGATCACAAGGCGCAAGTGCCTTGGTGAAGATATCAGCAGTGTTGGCCTTAGAGGCCACGTACGCAAGGCGCAGCTGACCACGCTGCTGTAGCTCACGAGCAAGGAAGTAGCGGAGAGCAATGTGCTTCGTTCTGTGCTCCAGTCTCTGCTCTCGACACAAGGCCAGCATGGCCTTGTTGTCTACGTACAGCACTGGAAGAGAACGAGGCGGCTCTCCAAGGTCACTCAGCAGGTAGGTGAGCCAGCGAAGCTCGTGTGCAGCCATGGCCCCGGCGTAGATCTCAGCCTCACAACTGGAGCCGAGAACAGAAGACGAGCGGGTAGCCCGCCACGAAACAGAGCCGGAACCAAGGCTGAAGGTGTAACCCTGTGACGACCGCTGCGTAGCCTGGTCGTTAGCCCAAGAAGCGTCTGCGTGCTCAGTGAGGACCACTGGACTCCGCCCTCCAAGCACAAGCCCCATGCCCGACGTACTGCACAAGTAGCGCAACACCCTCTTCGCTGCAGCCATGTGCTCCGGTCTGTGTCTCCCAGGAGCAACATAGCGTGCGAGAATGCTAAGAGGGTATGCAAGGTCAGGTCGAGTGCAGGTCATCAGGTACATGAGGCAGCCAACAAGCTCTGGGTACGGGCCACTCGACTCTACGGACTCATCCGAAGGCAAAGCTGAGAGCGAGTGGTGAGTAGGCAGAGGAGTGGCCTGAGGCGAGGAGTACGTGAAGCCGAAGCGCTGAAGGACCTGCTGCACCATGTGTGACTAAGTTAGGGTAATGGTGCGGCGTGCTCTGTCCCGGGTGATCTGCAAGCCAAGGTAGTTGCGCAGTTCACCCAGGTCTGTGCACGTGTGTCTCTTCTGCAGCTCGAACTTCACGTGGGCGAGTCCAGCAGTGTCAGCTGTGGTAAAGACCAAGTCGTCAACGTACACGAGGATGTAGAACGGCGGCAAAGAAGTGTCGGTGCGCAGAAACAGCGACGGGTCGGCAGTAGAGGGAGCAAACCCAAGAGCCGCAAGTGTAGTCCTCAGTGTGTCGTGCCACTCACGCGGTGCCTGGCAGAGACCGTAGACTGGCCGCTGGAGGCTCCACTGTGTGCCAGGAGGAAAAGACCCAGTGAAGCCAGGTGGGCGGCGCAGCCAGATCTCCTCGTGCAGGCTGCCCTGCAAGAAAGCAGTGCTGAAGTCAAGAGAGTGCAGCTCGTAGTCGCGGTGAGCAGCTATGTGCAGCAGTACCCGAAGAGTGGTCATCTTCGGGGTGGGAGAGAAGGTATGAAAGTAGTCAACTCCCTGCCGCTGACTGAAGCCACGAGCCACGTAACGCGCCTTGAAGACAAGCGGAGAACCCGGCGGCCGCTTCACCCTGAAAATCCACATGCCACTGACGATGTTCGCCCCAGGCGGGGCAACTTCGTCAACGTAGGTGCCTGTGGACTTCCAGGAAGCCATCTCTGTGTCCATAGCTGCCTGCCACTGAGAGGAGTAGGGACCCTCTAACGCCTCCGCGTAAGAGCGCGGAGTCGGGATGTCAAGTGCATCCGGGTCTCCCTCAGGGGTAAGCAGTACGGACACGAGATGAGGTGAAGCAGCAGCCAAACACTGGAACTCCTCCTGCCTGTCCTCAAGGACGTCCGTGCCAAGGGCACACTCACCCCCGACGGACGGAGGACAGACAACTCAGACTCAGCGACAAGACTAGCAGCGTAGTCTAGACGACAGCGAGCAGCAAAGTCGATGAGCTCAGCAACTAGGGCAGACGTAGGAGTGGACTCAAAGGAAGGGTCAGTGACGACAGTAGCAAGGAGACGCGTGACAGAAGGACTGGCAGCACGAAGAGTGTCCGACTCCGGGTCGGGAAGAGCAGGAAGAGAGGACTCAGGAGGAGAAGGCAAAGGGGCACGCAGAGGAGCAGTGGACGGACGCAGAGACATCCGGTGCGTGCCAGGGACAGGAGGAGGACGCTGACGCGAACCACGAACACTAGTGCGAGCAGCACGGACAGGCGACGCAGGGCGAGACGCATGCTCACAACGCTCAGTAAGACCTCCAGTAGGACCAGTGTAGGGAGAGGGAGCAGGCAGTGAGGAGGCCGGCTGGAACTGTAACTGTGACGGGACAGGCTGTGGACACTCTAAGGGAGGAGGAGGACCAGTAGAAGGCGGGAGACCAAGAACCTGCTGAAGGAGCGGAACGAAGTACGGCCGAGGCCGCGCGGCGACTCCAGAGATAGCACCAGGACCCCCAGCGGCAGCACCATCGCCAGCAGCACCTCCAGCTCTAGTACCTCCAGCAGCAGCAGTAGCACCCCCAGCAGGACCGCCTCCAGGACCGACAGCAGTAGCCTCAGCGCCAACACCCTCAGCAGCTCCAGCTCCAGTCGTACCCGCAGGCCCAGCAGCTCCAGTACCCCCAGTACGAGCACCTTTGGAACCCGCGGTACCAGCACCCTCAGCAGCCGAAGAACCTCCACCTCCAGCAGCACGCCTCCAGCGCCGGGCAAACCACTCACGCAGCTCCTGTGGAGAGAGTGGCTCCCGCCGAGACGAAGCACGCGGAGAACGTGCAGGCTCAGTACCGCCAGACGCGACACGAGCAGGCCCAGCTCCCTCAGGCTCCGCACCCCCAGGCTCAGCACCTCCAGACGTAGCACCCCCAGGCTCAGCACCCCCAGTCGTAGCACCCCCAGGCTCAGCACCCCCAGTAGTAGCACCCCCAGGCTCAGCACCCCCAGTAGTGGCACCCTCAGACTCAGCACCCCCAGGCGTAGCACCCACACGCTCAGCACCCCCAGAGTCAGCACCGCCAGGCTCAGCACCCTCAGCAGCACCAGAGTCACCAGCAACCTCAACAGGCTCGATTGTGTCTACCTGGGACACACCTGAAGGGGCAGGACCCTGAGGGGGGAGGGGGTCTACCGGGGGTGGACCCGGCACAAGGAAGAGCGGTGGCGGGGGGAGGGACGGAGTGCGGTAGGGGAAGAGGCGGTAGTAGGGGACCGACTCGTCAAACGTGACGTCCTGGGAGGACAGATAACGGCGAGAGGTGGGGTGGTAGAACTGCCACCCTGGCGCGTCAGGGGGGAAGCCAAGGAAGACGCAAGGAGCAGCACGAGGGGACAGCTTGTCCGCAGACAAGTCGCGGACAAACGCCCGAGATCCCCAGACACGGAACGCAGACGCATCGCCAACCTTCCCCATCCACAGCAAAGCTGGGGAGGTCTCCAGCATGGAGACCCTGGGGTGAAGGTTGATCTGATGCGCCGCGTACCGAACCGCAAACGGCCACAAAAAATGGGGGGCAGCTACATGCATCATGGACGTGCGGGCGATGTCCATGACCATGCCAATGCGGCGCTCAACAATCCCATTTTGCTGTGGTGAGTCCGGAAGCGTGAAGGTCTGGCGGATGCCTCGTGCACGACAGTAGGCTCGCAGAAGGCCAGAGGAGAACTCTCAGCCTCTGTCAGAGTGCAGACGCAGAACAGGAAAGTCCGAGCCGAAGCTCTCCGTGAGCTGGAGACGAGCTGAGCGGATCCAGTCGATCAACACCTCAGTGACATCACCTTTGCTGCGCAAGGGGAAGACTGTGGTGTAACGCGAGTAGTCGTCAACCATTAGCAGGAAGTAGCGCTCGTGACCCTGTCCACGGACGCGGGCCGGGCCCCACACGTCCATGTGAAGCGTCTGCAGCGGGGCCTCTGTCGAAGGAAACTGGGAGGAGTGAGGGGGAGCCCGCTGCCGCCCCTCGACACAGGGGACGCAGGTAGGGCCAGGCCCCGGAGGAAGGGGAGGGAGGGACCGGGGAAGACCAGAGACAAGGTCACGGGAGGCCATGCCTCAGAGACGAAGCAGGGAGGGGTGACCAAGGCGGTGGTGCCAGAGGAGAGTCTGGTGGGACAGGAGGCGACACGAGCAGGGGGCAGACTCAGGACCAGACCTGGACGCTGCAGCAAACACCTGACCCGACGCAGCTACCTGACCAGACGCAGTGACTGGAGGAGACGCAGTGGTCAGTGTGTACAGGCTCGACCCCGGCCGACGTGTAAACGTGGCCAGGTGTTGGCCTGTCCGAGCGTCCGTGCAGTGGGTCACCCGCTGACTCGCAGGAGTGAGTTGGTGAACCCCCGCATCCTGTAGAGCAGCACCAATCACCAAGTTCGTAGAGAACGAGGGGAGGTAAAGACCTGACAGGGTGCCAGAGGGGGCCACCGGACACGGGAGGACAGTGGAGAAGTGAGCAAGGACAGGACCCCCAGAGGGGTCTGCCAGAGAGACTGCAACCGGCCGGCCAAGCGGCGTGAGTGTGGTGCAGTCTCGAAAGAAGGAGCGAGAAGCCCCCGAGTCAAGGGTGAAGGTGTGGGAGGCCGAAGCCGACGCAATACCTGAGAGAGCAGACTCACCAGCACCTGAGGGAGCAGACGCACGAGGACCTAGAGCAGCAGCCTCGCTAGCACCTAGAGCAGCAGCCTCACGAGTACCTAGAGCAGCAGTCTCAATGCCCGGGTCGGGCGGAAAACACCGGTAACAGTCACCCTCATCACTAATAGTCAGAGCATTCATGGCAGCAAGAATAGCATCAAGTCAAGGTCAAAGACAGCTACTCCCGCCCTAGACAGCTCGCCCCAGCGGGGGATCTCAGTGGCCTCAGGGAACTGGTGACGCCAAGCGTCCGTCAGGCGGCCAAAGCAGCGCTGGGTGGAGTGCGCACCCCCGCACTGCTCACCCGCGCGGTCGCCGGTGCGTAGGACGTAGGTGCACGGACCAGTACCCCAACCCTGCTGGCGTGCAGCGTACCACTCACGGAGCTGCTGAGGGGGGGGGATGTCACGAGTGTGTTGCTGCTGCTGCTGCTGCTGGCGCTGACCACCGCCTCCGCCGCCGCCTCCTCCACCGCCGCCACCTCCGCCACCTCCGCTCCCACCGCCACCGCCGCCGCCGCCTCCGCCTCCACTGCCGCCACCGACACCTCCACCCCCGCCACCACTCCCACCACCACCCCCACCCCCTCCACTGCATCCACCGCCACCTCCGCCATCCCCGCCAGCCCCTCCAGCGCCCTTGCCCCCCTTGCCCTTGCCGGTGCGGCGTCTCCCGCTTGGGGCAGACGCAGCGCTGACCGGCTTGAAACCAACGAGGTTGGCCGCAATAGCAGAGGCAACAGAGGGCAAAAGGGGGGAGGGGGAACACCCCTCAAAGACGGGGGTGCGAGGGTCACCACGAGAGGTTCCTACAACGACTATGCTCTTCTCTACTACTAGGAGGGCCTTCTCGAGGAGGTCAACGGTGAGAGTGGTGGGGCGGACTGAGAGGAAGTGGTTCCTGACTACGCGAAGGGAGTCAGGGAGCCGGATGACTATGTAGTAGAGGGTGATGTACAAGGGGGGGGGGGTTCTTGGCGCAGAACTCAGCAGGAAGCGCAGCGCGGTAGCGAGTGTCACTAGTGCGGAGGTGCGTAATGAGGTCAGCGACTGTGGGGAAGGCAGAAAGGTCAGGGAAGAGGTACGGTAGCATGAGGCGGCTCAGTGCAGCAGTGGCAGGGTAGGAGCAGCGTGCAACTACAGCGTCGTACAAGGTCTGAGCACTCTTGTACTGGCTAAAGTGCGCATGCTCAGAGGTAGGCAGGTGGCGACGCACAGCAAGACGTGCAGCAGCATCGCGTGTGGCCCACTGTGAGCGAACAGTGGCGTCAGCATCAGCAGCAGGGGCAGGAGAGGCACCAGAGGTGAGGTCAAAGAGGGAGAGACCGTCTGCCCTATCGCACTGTAAGAAATGTTGCAGGTCAATGGCCCGACCCTCAGCGTCAAAGGCGAGGACACTAGGGGTAGCCATGACAGCAGTAGACTAGCAGCTCGAACAGTAGGGTAAGGGCAGTGCAGTGATAGAGGCGCTGCTCTTACCGGACAGGGCGGCTCAGGCGGCTCGGCGGCTCAGCGGCTCGGCAGTACGGCGGCTTGGCAGCAACTGCGGCTCGGCGACTCGGCGGCTCGGGCGGCTCGGCGGCTCGGGCGGCTCGGGCGACTCGGCGGCTCTGGCGGCTTGGACGGCTCGGGCGGCTTGGCGACTCGGCGGCTCGGGCGGCTCAGCGGTCGGCTGCTGGGCGGCTCGGCGGCTCGTTGGCTCGGCTGCTGGGCGGCTCGGCGGCCCGGCGGCTTGGCTGCTGGGCGGCTCGGCGGCTCGGTTGCTCGACTGCTGGGCGGCTCGGCGGCTGGTGTGGCTTGTGACGACCGCGGCAGCAGTCGCAGGAGCCGTGGCGACTGCTGCTGCAGAGACGGCGGCAGCTGCTGCCTCAGGGACGGCGACGGCCGGCCGCTAGGGGCCGCGAAGGGCAGCCGAGAGGCCGTGAAGGGCGCCACAAGGGGCCGCTGAGGGCGGCCGCAGGCCGTGAGGAGGCCGCGGAATGCGGCTCGAGGGGCCGAGAGGGGGCCGTAAGGGGCCGACGGGCGGCGGGAGGGGCCAAAGGGGCCGCGGGAGGGCCCGTAAGGGTAGCGTGAGGGGCCGTAAGGGGCCGTAAGGGGCGGCTCGCTGGGCCATAAGGGCGGCGTTAGGAGCCGTAAGGGCGGCACGAGGGGCCGTAAGGGCGGCGCGACGGGCCGTAAGGGCGGCGCGACGGGCCGTAAGGGCGGCACGACGGGCCGTAAAGGCGGCGCTAGGGAGCCGTGAGAGGGCCGCTAAGGGCGAAACGACGGGGCCGTGAGGGGCCTAGCGAGGGCGCGACGGTAGGGAGAGCACACGGGGCGCGACTCGGGCCGGAGCGAAGTGCGCTACGGGCAGGAAAAAAAAAATTCGTGGTGGTGGGCCCTAGGAATCGTTCCCACTAGGGAACCTGCTCGATACCATGAGAAGAAACGAGTGATGAAATGACTAAAGGAAAGTTGGGTACAAGTACAAACCCTAGAAAGCTGTACCCCATATGTGCTACCCCACTATAGCCTACAGTAGCTATGTCATATAAATCTGACATGAGTCTGTCTGTCCTCCGTCCGTCGGGGGTGAGTGTGCCCTTGGCACGGACGTCCTTGAGGACAGGCACGAGGAGTTCCAGTGTTTGGCTACTGCTTCACCTCATCTCGTGTCCGTAATGCTTACCCCTGAGGGAGACCCGGATGCACTTGACATCCCGACTCCGCGCTCTTACGCGGAGGCGATAGAGGGTCCCTACTCCTCTCAGTGGCAGGCAGCTATGGACACAGAGATGGCTTCCTGGAAGTCCACAGGCACCTACGTTGACGAGGTTCCCCCGCCTGGGGCGAACATCGTCAGCGGCATGTGGATTTTCAGGGTGAAGCGGCCGCCGGGTTCTCCGCCTGTCTTCAAGGCGCGGTACGTGGCTCGTGGCTTCAGTCAGCGGCGGGGAGTTGACTACTTTCAGACCTTCTCTCCCACCCCGAAGATGACCACTCTTCGGGTGCTGCTGCACATAGCCGCTCAGCGCGACTATGAGCTTCACTCTCTTGACTTCAGCACTGCTTTCTTGCAGGGTAGCCTGCACGAGGAGATCTGGCTGCGCCGCCCACCTGGCTTCACTGGGACTTTTCCTCCTGGCACCCAGTGGAGCCTCCGACGGCCAGTCTACGGTCTCCGCCAGGCACCGCGTGAGTGGCACGACACACTGAGGACTACACTTGCGGCTCTTGGGTTTGCTCCCTCTACTGCCGACCCGTCGCTGTTTCTACGCACCGACACTTCTTTGCCGCTGTTCTACATCCTCGTGTACGTCGACGACTTGGTCTTTGCCACTGCTGACACTGCTGGACTCGCCCACGTGAAGTCGGAGCTGCAGAAGAGACACACGTGCACAGACCTGGGTGAATTGCGCAGCTACCTTGGCCTATAGATCACCCGGGACAGAGCACGCCGCACCATTACCCTGACTCAGTCACACATGGTGCAGCAGGTCCTTCATCGCTTTGGCTTCACGTATTCCTCGCCTCAGGCCACTCCTCTGCCTACTCGCCACTTGCTCTCAGCTCTGCCTTTGGATGAGTCCGTAGAGCCGAGTGGCCCGTACCCAGAGCTTGTTGGCTGCCTCATGTACCTGATGACCTGCACACGACCTGACCTTGCATACTCTCTTAGCATCTTAGCACGCTATGTTGCTCCTGGGAGACACAGACCAGAGCACATGGCTGTAGCAAAGAGGGTGTTGCGCTACTTGTGCAGTACGTCGGGCATGGGGCTTGTGCTTGGAGGGCAGAGTCCAGTGGTCCTCACTGGGCACGCAAACGCTTCTTGGGCTGACGACCAGGCTACGCAGCAGTCGTCACAGGGTTACACCTTTAGCCTTGGTTCTGGCTCTGTTTCGTGGCGGGCTACCCGCTCGTCCTCTGTTCTCGGCTCCAGTTGTGAGGCTGAGATCTATGCAGGAGCCATGGCTGCACAGGAGCTTCACTCGCTCACCTACCTGCTGACTGACCTCGGAGAGCCGCCTCGTTCTACTCCAGTGCTGTACGTAGACAACAAGGCCATGCTGGCCTTGTGTCGGGAGCAGAGATTGGAGCACAGAACGAAGCACATTGCTCTTCGCTACTTCCTTGCTCGTGAGCTACAGCAGCGTGGTCAGCTGCGCCTTGCGTACGTGGCCTCTGAGGCCAACACTGCTGATATCTTCGGCAAGGCGCTTGCGCCTTGTGATCATCAGCGCTTCTGTACTCAGCTGGGTCTTGTGCCTGCCTTGCCTCACTTGCTCACCACTTGACCTTGTTTGTACTGTTACATCAATATATACACCTGTTTTTGCTTGTCTAGCCTTATATATATGTGTAATCCTGCATGTGAACTGGCCTTGTGGCCTTGAACTTGTGCTCGGAATGTGTGGTGACTTTATGATCCACCCTGAGCTTGCTTTGCTTTGCTTGACTGGTCTTGTGACCCCTTGTTCTCCCCCACATTGCCTTTGGGGGTGTGTCAGATTTATATGACATAGCTATTGTAGGCTATAGTGGGGTACCACATATGGGGTACAACTTTCTAGGTTTTGTACTTGTACCCAACTTTCCCTGAGTCAATCCATTTCTCGTTCATTCTCACACTCTGGCGGTGCTGGGTTTGGGGCCCCTTCAGGTGCTTCTTCGAGGCGGGAGCTACCCTCTCCAGAGGACCTGCGCGAGTGGTTTGCCCGGCGCTGGAGCCGTGCTGCTGGAGCTGGAGGTGCTGCTGTTACTGCTGACCCTGGGGTCGGCACTGGAGTTACTGGAGCCACTGGTCCTGGAGGTGCTCGTATTGTCGGCACTGGAGCTGGAGCTTCTGGGGGTGTTGGCGCTGGAGGTGCTGCTGGCGTTGGTCCTTCTGAGGGTGTTGGAGGTGCTGCTGGCGCTGGTGCTGCTGCTGAGGGTACTGGTGCTGTCCCTGCTGGTTCTAGAGGCGCTGCGCGGCCGCGGCCGTACTTCGTTCCGCTCCTTGAGCAGGTTCTTGGTCTCCCGCCTTCTACTGGTCCTGCTCCTCCCTTAGAGTGTCCACGGCCTGTCTAGTCGCGTCACAGTTCCAGCTCGCCTCCCCCCTACCTGCTCTTCTCCCTACACTGGTCCTACTAGAGGTCTTGCTGAGCGTCGTGAGCCTGCGTCTCGTCCTGCGTCGCCTGTTCGTGCTGCTCGCACTAGTGGTTGTGCTCCGTGTCTGCGTCCTCCTGCGGTCCCAGGCACACACCAGATAGCACTGCGTCCTTCCACTGCTCCTCTCCGTGTCCCGTTACCATCTCCTCCAGAGTCCTCTCTTCCTGTCCTTGCTGATCCGGAGTCTGACCGAGTTCGTGCTGCCAGTCCTACTGTCACTCGTCTCCTGGCTACTATTGTCACTGACCCTTCCTTTGAGTCCACTGCTGCGTCTGCCTTGGTTGCTGAGCTTGTCGTCTTTGCTGCTCGCTGTCGTCTAGACTACGCTGCTAGTCTTGTTGCTGAGTCTGAGTTTGTCTGTCCTGCGTCCGTCGGGGGTGAGTGTGCTTCTAGCACGGACGTCCTTGAGGACAGGCAGGAGGAGTTCCAGTGTTTTGCTGCTGCTTTGCCTCATCTCGTGTCCACGATGGTTGCCCCTGAGGGCGACCAGGATGCACCAGACATCCCAACTCCTCGATCGTACGCTGAGGCGATCGAGGGTCCCTACTACTCTCAGTGGCAGTTAGCCATGGACGCAGAGATGGCTTCCTGGAAGTCCACAGGCACCTGCGTCGACGAGGTTCCCCCACATGGGGCGAACATCGTCAGTGGCATGTGGATTTTCAGGGTGAAGCGGCCGCTGGGTTCTCCGCCTGTCTTCAAGGCGCGTTACGTGGCTCGAGGCTTCAGTCAGCGGCAGGGAGTTGACTACTTAGACCTTCTCTCCCACCCCGAAGATGACCACTCTTCGGGTGCTGCTGCACATAGCCGCTCAGCGCGACTACGAGCCTCACTCTCTTGACTTCAGCACAGCCTTCCTGCAGGGCAGCCTGCACGAGGAGATCTGGCTGCGCCGCCCACCTGGCTTCACTGGGTTGTTTCCCCCTGGCACCCAGTGGAGCCTCCGGCGGCCAGTCTACGGTCTCCGCCAGGCGCCCGGTGAGTGGCACGACACACTGAGGACTACACTTGCGGCTCTTGGGTTTGCTCCTTCTACTGCCGACCCGTCGCTGTTTCTGCGCACCGACACCTCTTTGCCGCCGTTCTACATCATCGTGTACGTCGACGACTTGGTCTTTGCCACTGGTGACACTGCTGGACTAGCCCACGTGAAGTCCGAGCTGCAGAAGAGACACACGTGCACAGACCTGGGTGAACTGCGCAGCTACCTTGGCTTGCACATCACCCGGGACAGAGCACAGCACACCATTACCCTGACTCTGTCACACATGGTGCAGCAGGTCCTTCAGCGCTTCGGCTTCACGTACTCCTCGCCTTAGGCCACTCCTCCGTCTACTCGCCACTCGCTCTCAGCTCTGCCTTCGGATGAGTCCGTAGAGCCGAGTGGCCCATACCCAGAGCTTGTTGGCTGCCTCATGTACCTGATGACCTACACACGACCTGACCTTGCATACCCTCTTAGCATCTTGGCACGCTATGTTGCTCCTGGGAGACACCGACCAGCTGTGAGGCTGAGATCTACGCGGGGGCCATGGCTGCACTGGAGCTACGCTGGCTCACCTACCTGCTGACTGACCTAGGAGAGCCGCCTCGTTCTCCTCCAGTTCTGTATGTAGACAACAAGGCCATGTTGGCCTTGTGTCGGGAGCACAGACTGGAGCACAGAACGAAGCACATTGCTCTTCGCTACTTCCTTGCTCGTGAGCTGCAGCAGCGTGGTCAGCTGCGCCTTGCTTACGTGGCCTCTGAGGCCAACACTGCTGATATCTTTACCAAGGCACTTCCGCCTTGTGATCATCAGCGCTTCTGTACGATGCTAGGTCTTGTGCCTACTTGGCCTCACTTGCTCACTTCTTGACCTTGCTTGTACTGTGATCTTTCTATACCTGCACTTGCGTGTTTACCTTTTTATATGATCTTGCATGTGAACTGGCCTTTTGCCTTGAACTTGTGCTTGGAATGTGTGGTGACGTTGTGATCCACCCTGAGCTTGCTTTGCTTTACTTGATTGGTCTTGTGACCTCTTGTTCTCCCCCACTTTGCCTATGGGGGTGTGTCAAACTCATATGCCATAGTCTGTGTAGGCTGTAGTGGGGTAGACAATATGGGGTACAACACTTTTAGGTTTTCCTGCTTGTACCCACCTGCTTCCTAGTTCATTCATTCCTCATTTCTTCACAGTTACACGCCTTAATTAGTGAATGCGTGTGACATATACGTGCATGCGCAAAAGATGAACCGTCAACAGTGAGAACCATACGGACGGTTTGTCATCATTCCACATAGGGCGTTCGATCGCACCTTGGCCAACTCTTTCCCATAGTCTCTCCTGTTCCCTCCCCTCATTTTTTTGGATCATGCTTCCCCCCCCCCCTCTCTCTCTCTCTCTCTCTCTCTCTCTCTCTCTCTCTCTCTCTCTCTCTCTCTCTCTCTCTCTAATAGTCCTTGTATTGATATAGCAGGAAAGTACAAGCATGCACGGTATAAGGGCCTAGGTAACCAACAAACAAAGCCAACCAGTCACACAACTACCACACCGTCACACACTCTAGAGCTCCAGCAAAGGCTCGACCACCGCAAAGCAGTCCCCAAGGTGCATCTCCTGCCCTATGCCTCCAACAGGTGGGTTCTTAGCTGCTGCAGCCTCCCCCAATTTGATCAAGAGTCCCACTGACTGAGCCCTCTGGAGGGCCACAGACCACCTCTGTCTGAATTGATGCAGAAACTTGGCGGCATAGAAGGATTTTGAGTCGGCGTTGAAGTGGCGCCGAGCCGCTGTGTCTGCCAGGAGCTTGAGGAAGACCGGGACCTCGGCACATGGGCAGCCGTAGGTGTCTACCGCCAGTGGGAAGAAGCCTATCGTCTCTGGGCGGTTGGCGTAATGTTTTATTTTCTTGTCCGCTTGCTCACGCGCCGCCCACCCCCTGCCCTTCTGTGCCTCTGGGTCCCTGGTGCTGATGGGGTCAGTGATGGTTACATCGCAGATGTAAACCGCCCCACTGCTTCTGTCGGTCATAGTGAAGTCGGCGGTTTGCTCCTCGATGGGGCAGTAGGCGGCCGACTCTCTGTGCACTATAAACCCTGCGTCTTGCGCCATGCTGACGCAGGCATCCCTTAGCTCGTTGTGCGTGTTCGTGCGGTGCTTGCCTGTGCCGCAGCGGAGCAGGTGGTTCGGAAGGCGGGGGTCTGTGATAGCCGTGTGGTCAGCGCAGTCACAGTTTTTGGGGGGTCGAAAACGGTAGGCCGAGTCGGAAACGAACCGCATTTGCGAAGTGTACCGGCCCTATCCGCCTAGCAGGGGCAATGGGGATCGCGGTGAGCCAGTCGCCTGTGCCGTAGCCCGTCATTGAAAACATCCTCTGTGTGTGCCCCGCAAGCGGATTCGGCTTCATGCGCCTCGTCGCCTGCACCTGCTTTGCGTATCTGCTTCCGTGGACCTTGAGTCCAAGCACGTGTTGGAGCCGGATGTCGGAACGTTTGAGCCGCTCCGTCTCGAGTATCTCCCGTGCATCCTGCGGCAGTGCCTCCTCACACTCCTTCAGCCATTCGTGTAGCGGTGTGCTGTCAGCCCGTGGCAGTAGCATATGATTCCGTGCCAGGGTGAGGGCGGTATCTTCTTCCAGCGGTAAACACCCGAGGTACAATGCCGCCTGCGTAAAACTGGCTGCGAAACCATAGATCCCTTCGACTAGGGGGTCGGTGATGCCCAGCCCTCCCAAGGATGGCGGCAGTGATGCTTGCTCCCAGACCCGTGACTGTTCGGTTCGACACGTGGGAACACGGATATCGCAAGCTGTGAGGAGCGTGGCGAGCAGATCCCTACCCCACTGGCTCCATGTGTCACGAGGGAGAAGGTGCAGTGGGGTCGTCCTGGTGAGATATGCAACTCGTCGCGATATGCATCGCGTAAGTAGCAGCGCTGCGACCTGGGGGTCCGTTCGCTCGAGCAGGGGTAAGGGTTTCGCCATCTCGGCGAGCTGACCCGCCAGGAACCGAGCTGCGCCGCTGTCTGGCCCCACGAAGCTACCCAGTAGTTTCATGCCACCTTTAGAGAACGGCACTCCTGGCGGAAGGCAGGATGTGTCAATTGCGCAGGAGCTCCAGGCACTACACTTCTGTGGGTTGTGTTCGAGGCCCAGGCGCGCCAATTTTGTCGTGAAGCATGTGAATGCAGCTACAGTGCGGTCTGTGTCACCCAGGAAGGTGACATCGTCAGCATATGCCAGGCACAGCACGTCCGGGTGTGCTTCGGCAGTTTCTCGGAGTGTAGCGTGTATCCCTGCTGCAAATAGAAGTGGCCCCAGTGGGTCTCCCTGGCGTACGCCGCGTTCGCTTGTCAGTGGTGCGCTGTTGAAATTGGAGTCCAGTAGTAGCTGCGACGGGTTACCGTATGTCAGTTGCACGAGCGGCAGCAGTGGCGAGAGGGTGGGCTCTTGTAACGCGTCGGCGATGGCGGAACGCGAAATGCTGTTGAACGCGTTTGTAATGTCGGCTTGTAGTACCAGGCTGTCCGGGCGGGCATCCGAAAAAGCCCTGGCTGCGTGGATTACTGCCTCCGCCCCACCTGGAACTGCTACCCCGTACTGTAGGGGTAAGAAAAATTCGCGGACCGGGTCTCCCATGATTAACAGGGCAGCCTTGGCTGCCAGCCTGGTTAGGCATTCGCCGATGGCGATAGGCCTAGCCCCTCCCCCCGGCTTGGCGAGGGCGATGAGTCGTGATGCCGTCAGCAGGTTCGCTACCGGGCCTGGCAATTTGCCTCCCAACACAGTGTTGACCAAGGCGTGGAGATGGGTGCTGACCATTCCGTTCGTGATCGCCGCATCGCGTAGGTGCTCGAACGTCATCCCTGAAGGTCCGGCACCAACCCCATTCTCGCACCTCGCCAACATTTTAGCGAAGTCAGCGTGGGGGATTGACAATTTTGACCCCTGTGTTTCGGGCCACGTCACTGCCTCGTCTTCAGCACGTGGGTGCTTCTGTCGCAGCTCCTCCAATATTTCCGGACTGGGCGTGCAGACGGGCGTTGACTCGAGGGCCAACACGGCTCGGCGCAGACTCCCACGTTTTGCTAGGCTCTCTGCGCGGCTGATGACACCAGTCGCATCTGGCTGATGTCTTGGCGGGGGCGGTGTGTTGACTGCGGTCAACGCGTCTTGGTACAGCTGATCCCATTCGCCACGCTGGAAGGCTCGGAGCCGACTCTTGACGCATGGCCAGTTCGGGCGTGCAGGCGAGGTTTGGCGAAGTGTTAGTCGCGGGAGAAACAACAGCAGTCGCCATCCCGTTTCCGAATCGGGGTTTCGTGATAGGTGGTGTAACGGTGTCAGTAGCGCTAGCGAAAACAGCTGGCACAGATTTGGCGGTAAACGCCGCGAAAGTGGGGGCTGACGACTATCGCATAGTCCTGCCAAGTCCCAGTTCGCGATGGCCGCGAACAGGTCTGTCCGCTTCGCTAGCTCATCGGGTGAAAAGTAGCGGGGAATTGACGCCTGTAGGTGCAGTGCCGGACTGGCATTGGCGGCTCGATTTCTCCCATCGCGGCTCGCTCTCATTGGTGGGTTTGAGGTTGGATTCACACCCGTCCGATCGGCGTCGGATGGCGGCAAACCCATCTGTGACACTTGCACCACTGGCTGCTGCACTACCTCTTCCCTTCTCCTTGGTCCTTCTCTCGCCATGCCTTCCCCCTCCGTCTCCTCCTCCTCGCTCTCGGGGAGTGCTTCTTCCATATAAGTGGGGTCGTCCCGCTCGTCTTCTTCATTATTTTTCTCCGCGTTACTTAAAGCCCTCCGTGCCGCCGCCTGATACCCGTTCTCCGGCCCTCCGCCTGTTCCGCTTACGGTTTGTCTTCTCGCCCCGCGGTTTTCCTGCTCCAGGGATGGTGATTGCCGGTGCGCCTGAGCCGTCGCCAGAGCTCGTTGCCGCCTGGTCGGCTGTGGCCGCGACGCCTCCGGCGGAGGCCGGAAGGGCGACCACGGCGATGAAACCCCCTCTACCGCCGGCTCCGACCCTCGTGACAGCAGCCGCTGAAAAGCTTCCTCCCCACGCACCCGCGGATCCCGTTGCCCAGTCTGCAGCACATGACCCCCTGGTTCCCCTTGTCGCGCCGTCGACGTCTGCCCCTGTTGGGGTTGTTGCTGACCCCCCTGCGCCTGTCCCTGGCGCCCCTGTTGCGCTGAGCGCCTCTGTCCCTTGCTCGCCTGCGCATGCTTCTGCTTCGTCACCGAAGGCGGTGTCCGCCACCACTGGCGAGCCGGCTCCGTTGGTTGCGCCCGCGGCGTCGGGACCGCCCGCCCCTGCTGCGACGGCGGTAGTT